CAGTCGAAGTAACCTGAGGATCCTATGGCGAAGTGCACGCTTATATAGCCAGATGCCCCGCCCAAATTGGCGGGCTCTGGCGGGCTGTGCCAATGGCCAATGGCCGTGCAGTTTCACTGCGTGATTGGAAAAGGCTTCAGTATTCGGAGAAAAAGGAGTTTTCCCCTTAGCGTCTGTGTCTGTGATATTTTGGATGCAGTGCTTCATTTTGCAAGAGATGTGAGGCATTTGCATTTTGTGTGTGCAATTCTTGGATTTCTGTGTAAAGTTTTGAAAAAAAGAGACAAAGTTTTGAAAATGTGTGTAAGCAGTTGGAAAAACTGTAAGATTGTATTCAAAGAAATCAAAGACAATGTAATGATGTTCTTGCACTATGACAGCAGGATGAGAAATACATGTATGTATGTATATTTTTAATAAATATATATTTTTTATTTTTAAACATCCTTCGAAATAAAACCAGAGGGAAAATGTCACAAGATTATTTTCAGAAAAAAAAAATATATATATATATACACACACCTGTATATATATATATATATATACACATACATACACGTGTATATATACATATACACATACATACACGTGTATATACACATACATACACGTGTATATATACACATACATACACGGGTATATATACACATACATACACGGGTATATATACACATACATACACGGGTATATATACACATACATACACGGGTATATATACACATACATACACGGGTATATATACACATACATACACGGGTATATATACACATACATACACGGGTATATATACACATACATACACGGGTATATATACACATACATACACGGGTATATATACACATACATACACGGGTATATATACACATACATACACGGGTATATATACACATACATACACGGGTATATATACACATACATACACGGGTATATATACACATACATACACGGGTATATATACACATACATACACGGGTATATATACACATACATACACGGGTATATATACACATACATACACGGGTATATATACACATACATACACGGGTATATATACACATACATACACGGGTATATATACATACATACACGGGTATATATAAAATAGTTGTATCTCAGCCAAATATTGTCCGATCCTAACAAACCATACATCAATGGAAAGATTATTAACTTTTATTCACTTAAAGGGATAGTTTATCATAGTTTACTATGTTATAGTTTAATATATATATATATACTGTGTATATATATAGATAGATAGATAGATAAACTTTATTACAAACTTTAAAGTTTATTTTTCTATCATCACTTGGCAATTATCACATTAGGGGCTGTTTTTGTTGAATGGGATATTTTCTGATATTTTTCATCACAGAAGCTCTTTCTTCTTCTTTAGTCTGTTTAGTTTCAGTTTTTATGTCATGAGCATGTCTCGTTTATGTCATGTCTCATTCTCTCTGTGTGTGAATCGATGCTGAGCGCAGTGGAGCATTGCAGTGTTTTCCTCTCTTGAGTGGCAGATTCACAGATGCTGCACAAATCAAGTCATTAGAATCGCAGCCAGACACTTGTGTGTGAGTGCGTGCGTGTGTGTGTGTGTGTGTGTAACAACCAGGGTTGTTATAGTTAACTAAAACTGAAACTAAACAAAAAAATGTTACTTGAAATAAAATAAATGTCAAATAAAATAAAATAAAGCATAAAATTTATATATTTTAAATTTTTTCAATGCAACATTTTTGTTTTTCATTTCATTTTTCAATACTTGATGTACTAAAGTAACTCTCAGACAAAAACTGAAATAAAGATGCATAAAAACTCCATGGACATACACTATATAAAAAAACAAAACCTACTGAAAATGACAAAAACACCCAACAACATAGCTAAAACTTAATATGTGTCCCTGGAGCACAAAAGCAGTCTTAAGTCGCTGGGGTATATTTGTAGCAATAGCCAACAATACATTGTATGGGTCAAAATGATCAATTTTTATTTTATGCCAAAAATCATTAGGATATTAAGTAAAGATCATGTTCCATGAAGATATTTTGTAAATTTCCTACCGTAAATGCATTAAAACGTAATTTTTGATTAGTAATATGCATTGCTAAGAACTTCATTTGGACAACTTTAAAGATGATTTTCTCAATATTTAGATTTTTTTGCACCCTCAGATTCCAGATTTTCAAATAGTTGTATCTCGGCCAAATATTGTCCGATCCTAACAAACCATACATCAATGGAAAGATTATTCACTTTTATTCACTTAAAGGGATAGTTCACCCAAAAATGAAAATGTGATGTTTATCTGCTTACCCCCAGGTCATCCAAGATGTAGGTGACTTTGTTTCTTCAGTAGAACACATTTGATGATTTTTAACTCCAGCCGTTGCAGTCTATCAGTCGTATAATGCATGGCAATGGTAACAAAGTCTATGAGAGCAAAAAAAACATGCAAAGACAAATCCAAATTAAACCCTGCGGCTCGTGACGACACATTGATGTCCTAAGACACGAAACGATCGGTTTGTGCCAGAAACCGAACAGTATTTATATCATTTTTTACCTCTAATACACCACTATGTCCAACTGCTTTGAGCACGCGCACCGGAAACCGTGCGTGAGGTGTGTATGCGCTCTGGCGTAGTTTACGAGTTTACGCAAGCGCCGGGGCTGGAGTTAAAAATCATCAAATGTGTTCTACTGAAGAAACAAAGTCACCTACATCTTGGATGCCCCAGGGGTAAGCAGATAAACATCACATTTTCATTTTTGGGTGAACTATCCCTTTAAACTTTTATTCAGCTTTCAGATGCTGTACAAATCTCAATTTAAAAAAATTGACCCTTTTTGAAGCTCAGAGTATTATTTTATTTTACATCAATAATAGAATAAAATAAATCTGAATAAAAATAATCAAGATTTTTCCCATTATACAATTTTTGTCTCTCAGTGAGCAGGATGACTGATGGCTGCTATAATGCTACTTTATCATATGCTACTTCATAATGTAATGATATACTGTAGTAGCATGTGAGATGCACATTAAGTTTGCCTCTTTATTTTATTTTGCTCTGTTTTTACTCAAAATTCAATCAAATATTGGAAAACAGTCTCTGAAAAGCAGACTTCCTACTGACTGAGTAGAAACAATGCTGATTATATTTTTTTGCGTAATATGACCTAATTTAATTATGCTGAGCTTAAATATATCAATGATAATTTTCTACCATATATAGTGTTTTCACAAAACAGTTACATTTTCTTCTGTAACTGTCCATAAATGTAACAATGAAATCGGGATTAGAAATTAAATAATGTCATGCATGTAAAAATGGGCTGAGAATTGATCAGATAGTTGTATGTGTTTCATCATGTGTTTGTGGTGTTTTTCTGCTGATTAATGGAGAATACAAGACTTGTCAAAAGCAAAAATGCTACAAAATGCATCATATTTTGTGAGAAAGTGTGAGGAGAAAGAGCAGAACAGACTCTATTTTTACAATCAGCAAATATGATGCAGGACAGTGTGATCACATACTGACTGATTTCTTTCTTTCTCTCTTTGCTCTCTCTCTCCGTTGTGTCTCCTCTTCCCCATGTATCTGTCAGACCCGGTTCGTCTCACATGGGCTCAGATCAGGTCATTCGTGATCCACACCATCCTCTAAACCAGGGTTTCCCAAACTGATCTTCACAAGGGAACTGCGGGGGATTTAGGAGTTGATCAAAAGCTAATAAATAGATCTTAAAATTTGAAATTAAAACAAATAATAAAGAATCAAATCTGAATAAACCACTTACTAAAATATTTTTGAATATTTGATTAGTTTATCTGCCATTAACTGATATCAGAGAACTGTAAACGTGTTGATAAATGAATGAAATATTAACAAATGCCAGAGCAGTGTTGCTTTAGTATCATTGAGATACTACTATAGTTTGTTTTTGTTTTTTTCCCCAATTATTTTTATTTAATTTTTTTTCCCACCCAAATAAATATGGTAGTATTTGGTGAAGCGCCTCGAGTCTTTTGACCAATCAGAATCAAGATCATCTTCTCTCATTTTTCGCGGTGCTAAAACAACGCTGAGCTAAGTTTGCTGTCGACGATGGAACGCTTTTAAACTTACTAAACCTTAGGTACCTAATTACTACAATAACGTCAATATGCCAAATGAAGTTCACTCTGTTGTTAAGTCAAGTAAGTTTCTCGTGATACATTAGCATTAACATGATCAGTGTTGCTTGCAGGTATGAAAGTAAATGAAAATTAGAAGTTTAGCCCTGGAAACTAGATGAAATAAAATGTTTACATTTTTTAATATTTGATTTCAGTCAACATTTATTTTATTTCAAGTAACGTTTTTATGGTTTTAGATTTAGTTATCTGTAATAACCCTGTCTCAAGGAAATATTTGAGCTCAAAGAGGTTCGGCTGACAAAAAGTTTGTGAATCGCTGATATAAACGCTTGTTCTGAATGTTTAATTGCACTGATGCTGCTCACATGCAGTTACAGTAACACAACAATCAAGCTCATTCCTGCATTTCCAGAAATGTTCGCCATGTTCATAAATCTCTGAGCATTAAAAGCTTTGAAAGAAAGCTTTGCATTAAAAGATTCTGATATTCACGCACAAATCTGGCATGCATCGCATTTTCACTTTCTGAAGGTTAGAGAGTCAGTGGTGTTTTTCTGTGTTTCAGGGGTGTCGGATGCATCTTCGTGGAAATGATCCAGGGAGTGGCGGCGTTCCCGGGCATGAAGGACATTCAGGATCAGCTGGAGAGGATATTTCTGGTAAGTGTCTCCGCTCTGCTTTCCTTTCCGTTTAATGCCTCGGGTGCTGGATCAAGAGAAATTCTCCATGAATGCAAAGATATGGAGTGATAGATGAATGTACACGACTCTGTGAGGTCATGCATATTACAGCTCATGAATCCTGTAATCATTTCTCCTGTCATTTCCCATAATTCCCGCTCTGATAATTGAAGCAGAGAGTAATGGATTCATATTCACCCTCCGAGTCAGGTAAATAATTCATGCAGACAATTACTGAGATGAATAGAGTGGGCGGCCCGGGGTTCCTGGGTGAGACAGACGCCTGCGGGCCGTGAGGGTCAGCGGACAAACGTGTTTACAGAGGGGAATGACAGAAGCAGGGAAAACCGGCTCTATCGATCCACATGGAGAAATTCAGCAGCTGTCTGCTCGTGAAACAAAGAACAGCAGAGTCTCTTTGTGTGATGCACTGCGGGTTTACCTGTTTCAGGACTAGTTAACCTGGAAATGTGAATTCTGTTGTTATTTACTAACCCTCATGTCATTCCAAACCTGTGACTTTTTGAATGGATTACAAAAAGAGAATGTTTGGGAATGAGTGGCAGCTTGATGTCAGTTCCATTTTTGAATTCTTTAAAAGCAAAATTATATATTCAACCCAGTGTTATTTTAGTAGCATTGAGATACTATTATAGTTTTTATTAATATTTTGGACCAGTTTTTATTTTTACATTTTCAATTTTTATTTTCATTTCATTTCATTTTTTTTATGTCTATAGAATTTATTAATTTTTATTTCAGTTTTAATTTGTATTTATTTCAGTTCATCAAGTTAAACTAAATTAAAATGAGAAGTGTTGCCGTGGCATTTTTATATTTTATTTTATTTCTGTTAATATTTATTTTGTAACAATTTTTTTTAAAGGTTTCATTTTAGTTTTAGTGAACTATAATAACCCAACCATTATTTTAATTCTTCAGAACTTTCAAGTAAAATTGAATTAAAATACTGGTTGAATAGATCATGTTATTTTTAAGAACGAAAATGAAAAAATTAAATAATGATGATAATAATAAAGTTATTTATTTCACCCGGAAATGTGAAAAGGGTCCAGTAAGTTACTCACAGATGCATCACATTAGGGGAGTGAAATGCATTGTGACTGCATTTAATCATCAAGGTTAGTGTCTTGCAAAACGTTGTCAAGTGTAGTTATGCTCTCATTTGTTATTTCAGCATGACGGTGGGACGTTTGTTTTGCATATAGAACATGTTATTGTCTGTACAATTGTGAAAAAATATCTACATTAGATGCCAGTAATACACTGAGGGTGTTTTCTTTTCTTTTTCTGATGGTAAGCGACTCCTTTTAGAGTTCTTCTGTGAGTCTGAACCCAAACTAGAGCAGGAGTTGCGTTCTGTGTCCTTTAATGAAGGACGTCTTTGTTCAGAAATGCTGATTGTTTGATTTGCCCCCCTTCTGTCTAATTAGGCTTTGTCTGGTGCTTGTTGTTTGTGTTTGCTCTTTGTCAGGTGGGCTCTTGATGAATCTGGAGGAGCGCAGGGCGTCTGGCAGCTCGTCACTGTTCTCTGACACTGACATTTTCATTCCTGACTTGTTTTCCCATCCTTTCTTCCTGAGAGACCTGCAGCTGTCAGTCTGGCCAGCAGCTTATCTAACCCGTCTTTCAGAGATTATCCTTCATTACTGCTTTCCAAAGGCCAGACTGCTTTATGCTGCGAGTAAAAGAGAGGCCAGCGCTTCTGACCTTCATATTGACATTCTGCTTCCAGAGAGAGATGCTGCTGTTTGCAGTCACACGCTTGTGTTTGTGCGTTTCATTTCACCTTTATTTGGCTGTTTTCAGATGGAGATAAACTCATTACGTCAAGGTTAATATCCACTTTACGCTTGTGATGCATTTCGAATCCCATCATGCACAGCTGCCACACATGAGAGAGGCCAAATGAGAGCGCTAAATCTCTTTGTTTTGCTCTTTATTGTGGCTGGAATCACTCGGGAGACTTTTGATTATGTTGATATGAGTTTAAGGATGAAGAACTGAAATATGTTTAGTGCTATGAAATGAATGACTGGAGATTTTCTAAGCTTTAGAGGAGACAAATGTGAAATCACTTGAGTCTTTTCTTATGCAAAACATCTTGTTGTGTTCTTTGTGGTGAATCTCATAGGGCAATTTTTATTTATGTTTTATTTATATATTTATTTATGTTCTCACCCTCAGTTCATCCAAGATTAGGATGAGTTTGTTTCTTCATCCTTTCAGATGTTTATAATATAGAATGTATTAAAAATCTTCTTCTTTAAATAAACATATCATATGTTCGATATCAGATACTAGTTATGGTGTGGTTATATATTGTTTCTGCCGAACTGTATGAATGAAAAAGAGACAAGTGGAGCATATTTGAGAGGATGAGAGACCAGCTCATACCTGTGGCAGTACGGTGGTGCTGTTGGGCTGGTGTGGCCGCACACTGACACCCGTCTGGACCGGCGTCACGCTGGTTTTGTTGGGCTGCAGAGGCGGAGTGAGAGACTGCTGGCTGTTCAGGAGAGACAGACGCAACGCAGGGAGACTTTTCTACAAACACACACACACACACACACACACACACACACACACACACACACACACACACACACACAGAGTTACTTACATGTGAAATTACTGCAGTTTGAGACTTGAGTGTTTTTCGGCTGTTATAATTTGTGATCAAAATGGACATTGATTAGAGTTCATAGTCAAGAAAGGTGTTTGATTACGGAGTTATGCACATGACGTGGACAAAAATGTATTTTTCACTGCCACAAATGAAGAATTTGTTCTCTTGTTTTATTAATTAAAACTAAACTCGTTTTAGTTAAATCAATGCCATAAAATAAGAACTCATTCCTGCAGCTTAATTTGTTCCCTTGTTTAATTAAATCATGGCCGTGTTGTACTAGCACATTCTCTCGTTTTGATTTAATTAAAACCAGAGGACGAATTAGTACATTGTGGCCATGATTTACTACAGTGCAGGAATTCATTCTTAATCCATGGCCACAATTTAACTGTCTGATTTTTACATGTTTTATTTGTTTCCACACACTGCAAAAACTATTTTAAATAAAAAAAATATTTATAAATAAAACAGATTATTTGAGTATGTTTTACAAGAAAATACTATTACTATCAAAATTTCATGTTTAATTGAATGTTACTTGCTGTTTCTTTGTAACTCTTTGTGAAATTTACTAGCAATTTCTGAGTGAAAATGAAGTCTACACTAAATTTTTGTTCAGTGCATCAATTTGAACTTGCATGCTTGTTTAAAAAAATCACTGTTTTTGGATCATTTTGAATTATTGCTCATCTAATTCTCACTAAATAAGTCAAGTGCATTAATGATGACAGACAAAGAGGATAACTTTTTATTGATTAACTAACAACTCTCAAATAATTTAATATGTCATTTTAAGTTCATTTCAATTCAGATTTGTAATTAGTCTCTCCAGTTCCAGTGATTTACAATGACTCGTTTAAGATGATTTGCAGAGCGTTTGAGAACATAATAGACTGGCATTGTTGCATTGGCATGATAATCATCTAGTAAACGTTGCTAAGGAGCCACTGTTTCCTTTCATATGATATCTCACATGTATCTCAGTGGATCTCAGTTTGAAACAGGTGTCTCTATCAGCCGTTCTTCATGACCCAACAGGGCATATGAAGTGTTTTAGGGTTGGTGCATGTGTCTTTCAGCCCTACAGAGTTGAGTTGAGTCGGCCTGGCTTGACCTCACATACCTTTGCATCCAGACGCTCCTGAGATCTGATCTGTGAAAGTAAAGCCGCTCTGTTCTGGCGGGGGGAATTAATTACTGCATGCGGGTGGTCGTTGTTTTAGCCGGTCGAGGGCATGCGGTGACCTTCTGCCCAGCGGGAGCGCTAGTGAAGGGACAACTTCACAGCCGCTGACATTTCAGGAGTGATTGACAGCGAGTCCTGCCACACGTTTACCAGCTGCTTTCATCCAAAGAAGCTCACAGTAAACCAGATACAAGTTCAGTGTGCCTGGAGTTCTCATGGTCACTGGATTTGACAAAGTTTGTCAGGTTTAGACCCCTAAAATCCTGGAAAGATATTCATAGTTTTGTTTCAGACACTTAGTAGCGAGTAAACTAGATAGTCTTCAGCATGACTGTATTGAGTTGGGAGGTTATGTTTACAGTTATTGTTATAGTTACTGTAATAGTTATTGTTATCTGTATTGGCTGTTGAACTGCACTGAAGGTGAGAGTGTTGGTGAAGTTCATCGGCACACGTGAGATGTTGATTGGCTCAGGTTTGTGCTGGTTTTGCGGGGGTTTTGCTCTCTGGCGTGTTCTCTCGAGGTCTGCTGTCAGTGTGTGCTGTGCTTCGTCTTCTCTCAGCTCCCCGCCGATCTGCAAAACATCGTTTGCCACTCGCTCCCACAGCCCTGATCTCTCTCCACCCGCTCTGCTTGCACTTCAAAGCATCCCGTCCCTCTCCTCCACCCTCCATCTATAATACATGTGCTGTCACTCAGGGCTCTGTACAGTAACCCCCTCCACTCCGGGTGGATGAACCACATCTGCACCTCCTTCTGTTTCTGAGAGCTTCCCCACACACCTCACAAAACACTGCTTATAGTTGTTCATATAAATATATAAATCAATATGTGTGCACACTTTTATATATTTACATATTTATTCATATATATATATATATATATATTAGGGCTGCACGATTAATCGCATGCGATATTTAACGCGCATCTTATCAGTAA